GGGCACCAGTAAGCAGGGGTCCTGGGTGGGGGGCACCCTATGGGTCTGTCTACCATATCCCTTTTTCCCTTTCTCCTCTTCTCCTTCCTTACCTTCCTTCTTCATTTCCTCTTCCAAGCCTAGCCTCAGACACAGGGCTTTGCCAGTAAACATGAGCTTTATAGTAATGATGTTAATAAGTGACATCACCATGTTCCAGGCACTAAGCTGGTTTTTTTTTTTAACTTTCTATTGAAGTATAATATACATACAGAAAGCTGTAACATCCTAACTGTAGAAACCAATAAATTCTTCAGAAACTGAACATACTTATGTAACCATCACACAGATCAAACAGGTGGGATATACTGCTAGTACCCTGAAGCCCTCCTCAGGCTTCTTTCTAGACCCTAAAACCCTCAATGGTGAACTTTTGTTTTCAATAGTGTCTCACTCTGTTGCCCAGGCTGGAATGCAGTGGCGTGATCATAGCCCACTGAAGCTTCCAACTCCTGGGCTCAAGTGATCCTCCCTTCTCAGCCTCCCAAGTAGCTAGGACTACAGGCATGTACTACCATGCATGGCTATTTTTTTTTTTTTTTGGTAGAAATGAAGTCTTGCTACATTGCCTAGGCTGGTTTTGAACTCCTGGCCTTAAGCAATCCTCCCACCTCAGCCTCCCAAAGTGCTGGGATTACAAGTGTGAGCCACTGTGCCCAGCCAAAGGTGAACTTATAACAGTATAGATTAATTTAGCCTGTTTCTGTACGATTTATAAGCAGAATCCTACAACATGTATTATTTCATGTCTGGTTTCTTTGACTCAACATAGTTTTGTTGCATGTGGTTCTAAGTTGTGTATTCTCATTGTTGAATAGCAGTCCATCATATGAAGGTACCACAATTTACTTTTCCATTCTACTGTGAATGGGCATTTTGGGGTAGCTTTCTGGTTGGAAGTACTACAAATAGTGCTGCTAGGAGCAGCCTAGGATGTGTCTTTTGGTGAACACCAGTAAGCATTTCTTAGCTGGGAGTGGGTGAGTGCTGGATCACACAGTGTGCATATTTTGGTGAGCTGTGTGTGTGTATATACAATCCACACATCCCTCTATGGGAGGCATCATCATCCCCTTTATCTACAGAGGCCTTCTGGGTCAGACCTACACTTTCTCCACGGGTCCTGAAAGATCAGACAGGAGGGAAGGCCGACAGGTGCAGTGGAGAAAGTGTAGATTTCACCTACCTTTTCACTGTTGACAACCTTCTTTACCTTGTTTTTCTTAAGAGACACATTGTCTTGAAGACTACTGCATACCAATCAAATGTCCTTTGCTTAGTCTCATGTAATTCCTCTTCTGATTATCCTTTTTTTTTTTTTTGAGGTGGAGTCTCACTCTGTCACTCAGGCTGGAATGCAGTGGCATGATCTCGGCTGACTACAACCTCCAGTTCCCAGGTTCAAGTAATTCTCTGCCTCAGCTTCCTGAGTAGCTGGGATTATAGGCATATGCCACCACGCCTGGCTAATTTTTTTGTATTTTTAATAGAGATGAGGTTTCACCATCTTGGTCAGGCTGGTCTTGAACGCCTGACCTTGTGATCCACCTGCCTCAGCCTCCCAAAGTGCTGGGCTTACAGGCGTGAGCCACCGAGTCTGGCCATATCTTACTTTTGTTAGCATATTTTTTCCATGTGCTAAAAGTACTTTCAAAAATGTAACTTTTAAAGTTATTGTCTGATATTCTATCATGTGCAGTTACCGTGATTAATTTAACTAATTCTCTATTTTGGGACATTTAGGCTGTTTCCAGTATTTTGCCATTGCAAATAATACTGCATGAATATCCTTCTAGCTAAATCCTTAGGGACATTTCTGCTATTTTCCTTAGGCGAAATGATAAGATGCAGAATAACCCACAAAGCACACAGATGTTGGCTTTTGAGTCTCATTATCAAATACAAATTTATGCCGTTGTCAACAGCATAGAAGAGTGTCTTTTTTGTCCACACTAGTAATTTTCTATACAAATATTTGTTCTCCATTTTATAGATAAAGCATGATCATTTGGTTTTCATTGCATTTAACAGATTCCTGGTGAGCTTAAATATTTCCAGGTTTGCTGTCCATTTGCGTTTCTCCTTGCTTTGCATTTTGCATTCCTTTTCCTCATTTCATGTGTCTCCACTTCCCCACAGAATGATGTCCTGTGCTCCGCAGGTCTCTTTCCCACTCATTCTGGCCTTCAGGGCAAGAGTAATACCAAGGTCTCACAGAAGAGCTTGGTGATTGTCAACTGCCTTGCAAATCAAACATGTGTTAGAAAGATGCACACTCACAAGGCCCACAGCCAGCTTGGTCAGCTACATCTGTCATTCCTCCCACCAGGAAGGCCACATTCCTCCCAGAGCTGTAAACCTCACATCTCGCTGAGTCTCTGGACACCATCACCCAGGGGCTGTGAGATCAGGAGGGCCCGCTGGTAACGACTTAACCAGGGGAGGTTCCAGTGTACTTCAGGGGTTTGCAGGACTGTGCCTCAAAGGAAGTGTTCCCTATTGCTTTGGGGAAACTGGCAATTGTAAATCAGGTAACACTGAGGCCCTGACTTATTTATCCTTCTACAAGTTTTACATACTAGGGCCAGCAAGGGACTCATTTCCCCAATTCATGGTTGATTTGCAGAGTCAGCAGTTTGGATAAGACCAGGCCGCCTTGCTCAGCGAGGTCAGCATGTGCTGGGGTCTTGGAGGAATCAAGGCACCCTGTAGTGCTGAGGCCTTATCTTGTCTCTCGGTCTGGATCAAATGTCATCTTTCAGAGACATAAGACACAGGATGGGAAGTCACCAAAACAGTGGGAAATTCTTCCTTTTTGTGCTAAAAATGCTTTTTCCCCCTTTCTCCCTGGCCTCCTCCAAGTTCCTCTTCCTTTAGAGGAAAGCTTTGCCTGGAGAGCAGCTGCACCCTTGTGATCCCTGAAATGATAGGGAACCATTAAAATAGGAACAGCAACGATAAAAGAAGCTTTCAGGCCTTCGGCTCATGCTAATTAGCAATCAAGGCCAACACCGAACCCAATGTCCCATAATAAATTATGGCACATCCTTACAAGAGAGTATTAGGCAGCTATTAAAAAAATGTTTTCAAAGAGTCTTTATGGCACTGAAAACTGCTTATGACACGAAGTGAAATGAAGGCAAGATGTAAAGCCCACACACAGAACACAGAATACCAATGATGTGAAAGACTATCTGGAGATACTGTAAAATGGTAACTGCGATGATCTCTGCAGGAAAAATTATGTGCGCATTTTATGTTTCTCTCTTATTATATTTTTTAAATTTCCTACATTAGGCATTTGTACTTTTGTTTACAAAAAAATTGTTATTAATTTTAAAGATCAAGTCTGATGTGAGCTGCCCCAAGGCCCTTGGAGATATTCCATGTTCCTTCCTCCCTCCCTCCTTCCCTCCCTCCCTTACCCCCCTCCCCCCTTCCCTCCCTTCCTCCCTCCCGCCTTGCTTCCTTCCTTCCTTCCTTCCTCACTCTCTCCCTCCCTCCTTCCCTCACTTTCCTTCTTCCTTCTTCTCTTTCATTTTCCTCTCTTTCTTCCTTCCTCCCTCTCTCCCTTTCTTTTTCTCTCTCATTCTTCCTCCCTCTCTCCCTGCCTTCCTTCTTACCTTCCAGAAAACTGGCAATATTGACCAAAAACACATTTTCAACAGGCTCAAGAAGTTGGTCGTACCAATTCTGAATGAGGGGGCTTGGCTAATTTGGAAAAAGCCTGGGGACCCAAACATTGTTCTGTGCTGTCCTGGTCACAGTGCTTCTAGGGGGCTGGTTTCAATTCTGAGTGCCAGGTTAAAATAAATATATAGAAAAGACCACCTTCTGCAGAATACAAAAATGACAATAACGTCTTCACCAACAAAAGCTGCAGCAGCAGCTCCACCTTGTATTGAATGCTTACCATATGCCAGATACTGGACAGAGACATGATCTATTGTTTGATGTGAGCTTTAAAACAACTCTCTTACAGCTGAAAAATCTGATTTCACCAACATTAAGTACTGAGGTGGATCTATTTGAATCTGTATTTGCCCAGGAAATGGAGGAAGGGAAGCTTTCCCAGGGAAGGTCCTGCCACCTCTGCAGACAGGACGGCTTGGACTGTGGCCTTGGCTGCTGGAACTGGAGAAGCTGGCTGGGAGGGCTGCATTACCAGGGGAACTTTGGATGGATTTTGCTGGACAATAGTGACCGTTCAACTTACTTTGGAATTACAGAGGTTTATATCGAAAGGTGTTGGGGATGCAACAGACTTAGCTCATAGGAAGCAGAAGGCTAAATGCTCTGGAATCAGGAATAGCGGGCTCCCAGATGGCCTTAGTGGAATCCACTTTGCTTTTTGCCTGACTGGAGGATTCGATGGCTTCAGATGCCAAGCATTGGTCAGGCCCATGGCCCCCGTGGGTGACTCTGGATCATGGGGAAATTGGGTCCATTCTTATAGTTTGCCAGGAATGTGACAGCAATTGACTGGGCCCCACCTGGGCAGTCCTCTAATTGCTGGTAGTGGGGGCCCAGCCAAAGACAAGGAGATGCTTGGATCAGACTCTTCCACTGGTCAGATGGACTGGTTTTTCTTGTTGTTTTTTGTTTGTTTGGTTTTTTGAGATGGAGTCTCTATCAACCACGTTGGAGTGCAATGGCGCAATCTCTGCTCACTGCAAACTTCACCTCCTGGGTTCAAGTGATTCTCTTGCCTCAGCCTCCCAAGTAGCTGGAATTATAGGCGTCTGCCACCACACCTGGCTAATTTTTGTATTTTTAGTTGAGATGAGGTTTCTGACCTCAAAGTGATCTGCCTCCTTCAACTTCCCAAAGGACTGGGATGACAGGCGTGAGCCACCGTGCCTGGCCTTCAAATGGACTGTTTCTTAGCTAGTGTAAGAATTATGGGTACCCCAGACAAATCTATCCCACCAACTAACACAGAGAAAAAATACAGGCAAATAATCTGTATGAAATATTAGTTTTAATAAAACAAAACCAGTCCATGTACGGAGGCATGGGCATAAGGTTACCTTTCACTAAATGTAACTTGTATGTTTTTTCTAAAATAATTGCTTGAGCATTGAGGACTTGGTGGCCTCCAGTACTAACCCCGAAGCTGAGCTTCCTGGGAGGCTGATCCAATGGGGCACCTAGAATTCAGGGGTCAAGTCTTTCTTCTTTGTGCATGAGAGCTGGTTCAGGGTCACATGCTCTTGAGGTCCCCAAAGACCACATGCGCTGCATTTCGCCCAGCGGCTCCCATCACGCCTCCTCCTGGAAGAGAATCTCCTATGAACCAAAGCTCCACTCAAAAACCCACATGGGTAGGGGTGGGGGCAGGGCTTACAGAGATCCAGCAACAAAGCAGAGTGGGGCTGGTTAAAGGGGTGTGGGGGTGTGGGGCACGGGCACTGGGACCACCTAGGACAGCCATTCAATAGACCCTGGCCCCCTTCAGGCTTCCTGCACCAAAGGTCTGGGGAAGGGCCAGGTCCACAGCCCACAGTCTCAATGGCTGATGGTGGACCTGCTGGACGGGCAGACGCTCAGTAAGTAAAGTTAAAATTTCAGAATAAGGGGCTGGGGAGAGGGGGAGGATGTGGAAGCACAGATTCCCTCCAGGGGGACCAAGTCCACACAGCTCAGAGAATGTGTGCACAGCAAATGACAGCCCCACCAGCCCCGAGAGGCTTGGAATGGGCACAAGAAAGAATTGTAAAGTTGAAGAAGTTAACTTGATCCATCCTTCCTGGTCTAAAATATGTCTGGGGCCTCTAATCCCAGCACTTTGGGAAGCTGAGGTGGGAGAACCACTTCAGCTCAGGAGTTGAAGACCAGCCTGGGCAACGTAACAAAACCCATCTCTACAAAAGAATAAAAAATTAGCCGGGCATGGTAGCACACACTACTCTGGAGTAGTCCCAGCTACTCCAGAGGCTGAGGAAGGAGGATCACTTGAACCCAGGAGGTTGAGGTTGCAGTGAGCTGTGATCATACCACTGCACTCCAGCCTGGGCGACAGAGTGAAACCCTATCCAAATATATATTCGGATGGGGAATTTAGGGACATAGGGTCTCTCACAACCCCACTTTACAATGTGGTGAGATGCTCCACCAGGACGCATCCTCAGGCCTCCTGAAGGGGAGGTGCGAGCTCAACTGCGAGCTGCGGTCATCCTGGTGGAGGCAGTGGCTGGGGGCTCACCTGTGCATGGAGAATTCCGAACACGGGGCAGCTTCTTATGGCGGGAGTTCCCTGCTCCCCTCCCTTTCTCCTGCCTTCATTGTTTATGGTCTTCCTCCTTTTCCAAGTCTCTGACCTCCAGTGAGCCCTCCCAGTCCTCACAGGGTAAGTGGGACTCCAAGTCACTTACCAGGGTGAGCCCCACTTCCACAGAGATACAGGCCCTGGAGAGGGCAGCGGTAGCCGGAGTGCAGGGGCACAGGGCGGGCAAAGTAGAGCTGGTCCAGGGTCATGGCACAGTGGAATATGTTCTGCAGAGACAGGGCCACAGTCATAAACACAGGAGCAGTGCAGCCTTTACTGCCCTGGAGGGGCTTCTTTGCCTTCCTTGTTCTCCAGCAAAATTTCTCTTTCCGAGATATTTTCTTGAGTTCTTAAAATGCAGAAAGGGAAGATGAGATGGCACGGGCACGTGCCCTGGGGCTGGGCATGATGTTTTCCAAAGGCTTTTTGAGGAAGAAAGCAGGGTAAGGAGCAGAAACTTGAATGGGAAAGAAAAGAGGGTTTTGTGATCCACTCTGCATCCCCCTTGCGCTCTGTTGGAAAAACACAAGCGTCTGGCTTATGTGGCTGCCGGCCTGCATCTCTGCGGGAACTCCCTGCTCTTGCCAAGGCAGCCACCTGAGCCTGGATTCCAGCCTCCAAGATCCAACAGGACCACTGTGAATGGCACACAAGGGGCAATGGAGCCCGAACATGGTTCTGGCCCCCTTGTTTGGGTGAGACCAGCCCCAGGCTGAGAAGGGCAGCAGCGTGGCACAGGCGAAGGTCAGACTCATGGGGCAGGTCTGGCAAAAGCCCGATGTCTGCTGGACATCGCCATAGGAGTGTCCCTCCACTGCCCTCCTCACCTTGCCCCAAACTGAAGCCATCCTCTTCCCTTGAGTCTGCTCCTCCCACCTCCAGCGTCAGTGCATAACACCACCTCCCTCCCCTCCAGCCTCTGGGTCCACCCTTCACAAAACTCCACCCTGACTCCCACGTGCACACTGTCACCGAGGCTTCTTAAGTCTGCCCACCCCATGCCTGTTGTACCCAGCCCTTCCCTTCCTTCCCGCTGCCAGGGCTTCTTTCCTCTATACCTGGACCAGTACTGTCCAGTGAAAATGTAACAGGAGCTACATATGTAGTTTTTGATTTATTAGTAGCTACATTTAAAAACTAAAAGCAGAGCCGGTTGTGGTGGCCCATGCCTGTAATCCCAGCACTTTGGGAGGCCAAGGTGGGAAGATCACTTGAGCCCCAGAGTTTGAGACTAGCCTAGGCAACATTGGGAGACGCCACCTCTACCAAAAAAAAAAAAAAAAAAAAAAAATTAGCCAGGCGTGGTGGTGCATGCCTGTGGTCCCAGCTACTTAGGAGACTGACGTGGGAGGATGGATGGTTTGAGGCCCAGAGGTCAAAGCTGCAGGGCACTACTGCACTCCAGCCTGGGTGACAGAACCAGACCCTGTCTCCAGAAGAAAGGAAGGAAGGGAGGGAGGGAAGGAGGGAGGAAGGGCAAGCTGGTGAAATTAATGTCAATAATATATTATATTTAGCTTAATGTATCCAAAATATTATAATTTCAACATGTAATCAATATATAAATCATTGATGAGCTATTTTACATTTTTTTCTATACTGTGTGCATTCTACACCTGCAGCACGTTTCACTTTGGCCTCAGATCTTTCTTTTGCTTTTTTTTTTTTTTTTTAATTTTCCATTTAGAGACAGGGTCTCATTCCGTTGCCCAGGCTGAAAAGCAATGGCGCATCACAACTCCCTGCAGCCTCGAACTCGTGGGCTCAAGCGATGCTCCTGCTTCAGCTTCCTGAGTAGCTGGGACCACAGTACGTACCACCACACTTGGCGATTTTTTGGTTTTTCATTTTTGTAGAGATGGGTCTCACTATGTCACCTAGGCTGCTCTCTGACCTTTCAAGTGCTCAGTAGCTGCAATGAGGCGGTTGAGCCTGGCCTCCTAACTGGTCACCCTGTCTCCCATCTCTAGTTTTCGATAAATTGAAAAGTCTGAGGATGTGTTGCTTCCTTAAGAAGAGGGTGGTCTCTCTAAAGAAAGTCAGGTGGCAGAGCCAGCATGGCTGTCAAGGCAGAGGGCGACAATCCCGGTGACCTTCCCAGTGGGACTGTCCTGCCTGGGTTCTGAGTCCCCACCAGGGACCCCCCATTCCCTCGATTTGACCACTTCTCTGTCCTCTCTCAGCCGGGGTCCCTGCCACTGTCCTCCTTCCAGATGCAAGCTGAGTATGGAGGGACAAGATGAAGAGAGAGGACACAGCCAGGAAGTGGGGGTGCAGAGAAAACTGTGGCGAGACCTCCCCAGGCTTATACGTACCCCTCCAGGAAGCCCAAAGATTCTCTCCAAATCTGGGGGTGTGAGGATGTCTCTGCCAACCACAGAGTCCTTGAAGCCGGGCGCATAGGCCTCGATGCAATCAAACACTGGGGTGCCAACAAACAGAGAAATGAGATGGGATTCGGAAAAAGAGGGGGTGCTATGGGTGTACAACTTGGTAAATTTACTAACAGTCATTAAATTACACACTGAAATGGGTTTATTTTATCACACGCAAATTATACCTCAATAGGTAAAAAACAAAAATCAGTCTACAAGCAAATAAATAATTCATCCCAAAGATGGATAGGTAGGCCAGTCCAGTCTCCAATTTTCCCTGCTTCCCTACCCCAATCCTTTGTCTCCTCTTGCATATGCAAAGCTTTTTCCACCTCATCACTTTGCTCAAGTTTGCTCTTTCTTTCTCCTTCCCTCCCTCCCTCCCTCCCTCCCTCCCTCCTTCCTTCCTTCTTTCTGTCTGTCTCTTTCTTTCTTTCTTTTTTTTCTTTCTAGATAGAGTCTTTGCTCTGTTGCCCAGGCTAGAGTGCAGTGGGACAATCTCAGCTCACTGCAACCTCCGCCTCCTGGGTTCAAATGATTCTCCTGCCTCAGCCTCCCGAGTAGCTGGGACTACACGAATGTGCCGCCATGCCACCTGGCTAATTTTTTTGTGTTTTTAGTAGCTACGGGTTTCACCATGTTGGTCAGGCTGATCTTGAACTCCTGACCTCAGGTGATCCACCTGCCTCACCCTCCTGAAGTGCTGGGATTAGAGACGTGAGTCACCACACCCGGCCTGCTCAAGCTGCTTCTCTTGCTTAGAATGCCCTTTGTCTGGGCAGCTCCTAGTCATGACCGTCCCTTCCTTTGAAAGCCTTCCTTGTCTCTCTGGCTCATGCTTCTCCTTTGTTTCATACAGCAAGCTGTGCTGTAATGGCAGGTTTCTTAATTAGTCTCCCCCATACCCTGCTAGAGTGCAAGCAACTGGAGGGCAGGAACTGTCTTCTTGCCTGAGCTCAGCAGTCATTCATTATGTTGACTTGAGGTTCCCTTGAGTATTTCCTCCCTTTGGGACAGCACCTGCAGCTGTCTATCCTGATGGGGTGGTGAGGAGGAGCGGGCCCAGTTGGGTCACAAGCCCGGCTGTGGCTCTGGAGGCAGAACAAGCCGCTCTCTTTACCTCTGTCTGCATAAGCGTTTCTCTCCTGCTCGTCCCAGGCCTTGCCTCCAGCCAGCGTGTAGGGCGTGTACTGAGTGAAGAGGGAGACTACGTGGCAGCCAGCGGGAGCCAGAGTGGGGTCCAGCGAGGAAGGGATGCAGAGCTCAATCACAGGCCTGTGCAATTGGGAAGGCGAGACGGCGGGTCTAAAGAGCAGCAGTGCCGAGGGAAGGGCCTCTGAGATGACTTGGGATGCAGTGGAGGCGCTGAGATGACAGCAATCCTGGGCGATTGTCACTATACAGCCATGGTGAGTGTCTACCTGCACGGCTTAGTGGCCACTAGCGTGGTCCAGATCACCTGTGAGGACCTCCCCTAGCCCCAGACCCCCGAATGCATGGCCCGTCCTGCCTTCCTTCATCACACACGCTGTGCCCTAACCAGGGCTCCCAAACTCAAATGTCTCCAAGGTCCACACAGACGGTGTGAGGGTGGAAAGGGGCCAGGCCTCAGATAGCAGGTGCCAGGCAGCCTGATCTTAGCCAGTCTTTAGTAGCCTGCCTTTTCCAGAGCAGGCCAATGGAAAACAGAGCTGCTAGGGCTGCCCCAAGCCCCAGCAGACCTGTGACCTGCTTCCCAGCCACCACCTTTGCCTGCCATACCTTTTCTACCTGGAGCACATTATCCCCGCTCATTTCCAAATACAAGCCTCCTTTGAGGCCATGGGAAATGCCCCTTTTCCCCATGTCCCTCAGTCGCAATGTTCTCCCTGAACTCAGATGTCCACCAGGGATCTCAAACAGCATGCCCACCGTGTTTAAACCCCAATGCCTGATTATCCTCTAAAATCTGCTCCGCCCCCACCGCCTCTTCCTCTTTTCAGTAAATGGAGGCATCATTCCCAGTTGCTCCCTTTTTTCCACCCACATCCCACTCCCTGTCCAACAGCAAGTCCTGTTGGCTTCACCTTCAAAATACACCCAGTCTTCCGTCACTTCTCATCATGTCCACTGCGTCTGCCCTTGTCCAAGCCACTGTCCTCTCTCCCTTGGATTCTGCAACAGTAACCCATTGCAACAGATGCCCTAAAGCCTTTTCTCCACACAGCGTCCAGGTTGGTCTTTTTAAAGTATAAGGCGGGCTCTGCACACACCTTCCTGGAGTAAGAGCCAGGGCAGTTGACAAGACCCAGCATGACCTCAGACCCTTCGCTCCCAGGTGCCTTCTCTCCAGCCACTCTGGCCTCACCCCTGTGCCTCCTGCACAGCAGCACATGCCTGCCCCAGGCCTTTGCATCTCGCCTTCCCTCTGTCTCGTTCTTCCCCAAATACCCACAAGACCCGTATTCTCACTTCCTTCCGGCCTCTGCTCCAGCACTGCGTTACTAGAAAAGGCTTTCCTCCCCTCCTTGCCTGTTTTCCTCCGCAGTGCTCATCATTAGTGCTCATCATTAGTGCTCAATTGTTGATTGTCTCCCTCTCACCAGGAGAAAGTCAGTGACCTGAGGCCTTGTTGGCTTTGCTTGCTGATCTGTGCCCAGTCCCTGAACCAAGACTGGCACAGAGTAGAGACCCCAAAATATGTATAAATGGATGAATGAACTTGGCCTTATGCCCTTCTCTTCTCCAGGTGCACATCTTCTTTACCACACACTATAAATATCTGTGTACCTGTCTTATGATAATACACTTTGTGTCAGTTCATGCCCCTGCCCCGCTACTCCCCCCAGCCCATGCCTAGGTACAGAGCCCGGCACAGAGCAGGTTTTCAACAGGGTGTGCTGGACAGTGGACAGGATGGAAAGGCGCCTGCTCCTATAGCGCCCCTGCCTGTTCCAGAAGGATGGAAACACAGCTGCAGTGAGAGGTGGGAAATGCTTTTAGGAGGCAGCTTATCAGAAAAAGAAAGGCTATGGAGCAGGGCACTCGGTGAGTGCATGCACTCTGCGGGCTCTGAATCACAGAACCTCCTTTGCTCTCCCAGAAAACACTTTCTGTTCTTCTTCCCCAGCCCCAGCACTTTCCTGGGCAGCGCTCTGCCCCTCTGCCCCTTCCAATAACCTGTGCCGCTCCTCACCCCTTACCTGCCCGGGTCCTCAGGTTTTTCACCTGGGATGCGCTTCCTGTCCTTAGAACTTAAGTATGGGTTTTTGGCAGATCCCAGGTCATGGTGAAGGCTGAACACCAGGCCTGATCCCTGCTGTGTGTGGCATGAACAGCCCCACCTCCCAGGCCCATGTCGGAGAACAACAGGGGACACAAAGCCCTGGGCCCCTACCTGTGGGAAGGCAGCCCGTCCATGGCATCTTCAAAGGCCTGATGCAGGAGGAGGGTGTCTTCACAGTTCAGGTGGATGGAGCACTGGTGATGGGGCAGCGGCTGGCCTCCGGGAGCATTGGGGGCCGCCAGGAAGCTGGGCAGCCTGTCTACGGCCACTGAGGGACCAAAGAGGAGGGTCAGGTCTCAGCTCCGCAAGGTCCTCCCTCTACAGCCAGCACCCTGCTACCCCTAGTGGGGGAGGGGAGTAGGAAAGCAAGAGCAGGTGTTTCACCTTCTGAGCAGGGTGCAGGGGGACACGGGCTGGAGGTCAGGGAAGGGAGATGATGATGGAGCTCAGCTGCCCCCAGCCTAGTCTTTCGCTCAGATGGGTCAAAGGAGGCAGTGCTGCCATGTGGTGTGCCTCTTACCGTTGATCTTGGTGACAGGAGACCGGGTGTCCAGCTGAGAGATTCTCTCCACGAACTCCTCAGGAAGCCACTCCTGGAAGGAGAAGGTGCCGTGAAAGGTCTCAGGTGTCCAAGGCCTCAGGGAAGCTGCCTTCTTTCTTTGCTCAGGCAGATCCCTCCATTGCTGCCTCTGGAAATCCTCTTCATCTTTCAAAGCTCAGCCAAAACCACCTCCTCTGTGAAGGCTTTCTAGATGTCCTCCTACTCAGCTCTAACCACTTCCTCCTCTGTGCTTGGCCAGCAGTTCTGACTGTGAAATAGTCCACATCTCTCCCTGCTTGCAAAGGGATCAGTCGTCTGCAGGCCTCTTTTCACTACTGGTCTGTAAGCTCTTGGAAGCCTCAATGATCTTAGAATTGCCTTAACAAGTTTCTTTTTGCTCATGTTTGTTGAATTTTATTAATGGAATCACGCAGAAAAAGTGGTGCTTTACCCCTAAGAATCCCCCCAAGAATGGCTGGGAGCTTCTTGCTCATGTACATGTTATCATATATTTGGGCACAGGGAAAGTCAATTGCAAAAACTGCCCCCAGATCTCACCCCTCCCTGTTTGCACACCCACTTCTGACTCTGGACTTGGTCATGAGACTTGCTTTGGCAAAGAGATCAAACCATGTGATGCTTTCATGCATGATTGAGCTTGCCTGCTTTTGCCCTCTGCCAGACTCTGAGAACGTGCCCGAACACTGTGCTGGGGGAGGACAGACACACGGAGCAGAGCCAAGTCCCGTCATCCCAGCAGAAACTGTCCTGGACCAGCCACCACTGGCCAGCTCCCAGGCACAGGAAGGTGTCCTGCCAAGATCAGCAGAGTCAGCAAGCTGACCCACAGCTGACTGCAGATGCACAGGCAAGCCTTGGGCAGCTGAAATCCACCAAGATCAACTGAAGTCTCCATTTCTGGGTGCCAGTATTTCTTGTTGTATGCCCAAAAGTTTTGTGGCTTTTTGTTATCATTAATTAATAATCATGGATATTACAATAGATTGTTGACCCAGGCGATGGAATTAGAGCTGCTGAGAGGTGAGAAATCAGGAACATAGGAAAGTTGTGGAAATAACTCCCGATTGAAAGTTAGACCTGGGTTCCAGCTCTGGCTCGGCCAGTGCCCAGGACCCTGCTCACTTCACATCTCTGGCCCTTTCTCCTCACCTGTGAGGCTTCTTCCCTGTTTGCTACCTGCCCTTACCTCCTGCTTCCCAAATGCAGAGACTTCACTTTTGTGTCTCACATCCTGATGCAATCCTGGCTCCCTCAATCCCCACGGTTTCCAACCCCTGTTCGGGCAGACATCTAAACTCCCCCCTCCCTCCCCCGGCAGCCTCACCTGTGGCGTCAGCTTCAGGAAGGTGATCTGTGGTGATGTGCTGGACAGCACCGCTTTGCTTCTCACCTCTGTGCCATCTTCCAGCACAACTCCTTGCACGCAGCCTTCGCTGTTCACCTGCACCTTCGCCACTGTCTACAGCTCACCAGAAAGAGGCCCCGGAAACCCCCAGGAAGGGAAATTCAAGTTAGATCTTGTGGGATTTCCATGGTCTGTGCTGCTCCTAGGCATTCACAGCTTCTTCATCCCAAAACCGCCCCACCAAGTTCTGCAGCTTCTCCATGAAGCCTCAGCCCACAGGTGGTTCCGTGATCAGGGAATTTAAGGGGAGTGGTTAGCCACTAGCAGGCAGCGTGACCTTAGTCTCTTGATTCTTCAAGTTCTTCAACCTCCCTGCCTGCCCACCCGCCCACCACCCCTCTGTTCATAGGTAAAACAAGTGGCCTTCCAAATCTGAGACTCTGTTCTGTCCTGGGATCCTTGCCAACAGTTGGGGTGAGGTAGAGGGGCCATTCACCTTTTCAGTGAAGATACTTGCTCCATGTGTGGTGGCTGACCTTGCGATGGCATCAGAGAGGGCACCCATGCCCCCCTGGACGTAGCCCCAGGCCCCCGGTGTCCCCTCCAGGCCCCCCATCACATGATGCAGCAGCACATACCTGAGGACAGACCATCCAACTCAGAGCCTGGGGGTGGCATCTAATCTCCCCAGAGTTCTAGGCGCAGCTATTCCTTTCCATCTTGACTTTCAGCCCCTCCCTGCCAACATCTAGCCTTTTCCCAGCAGCCTTTAATGAACTCAAGTTCTTGTAGGAGCCCTTTGCCTTCTCTACACCCTTTCCCCAGCAAATGAGTCTATGTGCGTAGCTTTATTACCAAAAATAAGGCAGCTACGCCCAAACCTGCAGCTCCAGCATTCTCCTGAGCTCCAGCCCGCATCCAGCTACCCACAGATATCTCCATTTGGATGCTTTTTTGGCAGGCATCTTAAACCCACCACCTTTTCCCTATTCTCCAGCTGCTTCCCCTTCAATCTTTCCCATCCCAGTGAATGCACCTTCCAATGAAAGATTCTGTTTCCAACAGAAATCCAGGTGTCAGCCTTAACCTCTACCACCCTTCCCCATCTTCATCCACAAAGCACCAACTCAGCCTCCAGAGGGCTTTCAAGGTCCCCATCTCCAGCAATTCTCCTGTCACTCACTTATCTCCGTTCCAAGCCTCCCGGCTTGGTGCTGCTCTTAGGGTAATGGCCAGCCTCCTAGCACGTGCTCCAGCCTCATCCCTCATCCTGTCCCCATCTCTGTACCCCACCCTCCTAACTAACAGAACCTCTCTATTCCTTGGATGCATCACATGTTCCCTCAACCCCAGCATTTGCCCCTGCTGTTCTGTTAGCCTGAAGCCCTTTCCTCCCTCACCTTCTGTTTCAGTAACTCCTCCTTGCCATTTGCATCTCAGATCAAACACCTCTTCCACGTGGAGGCTTCCCTGATCCTAGGCCAGGCTGCGACCCGGCTGCTCTTGCTAGCATCACACTCACGCCACTTCATTATCATCACTCGCTCTCCGTCTCTCACCCACCAGGACGTCTGCTCCGCTCACTACCGTGTCCCCAGCACCTAGTACAGGCAAGCACTCATCCATATTTGTAGGAATAATTAATGAAGGAACAAATTACTTAAAGGCACATTTCACAAACTGAGCAGTGGGTCAGCCTCCCAGAGATCCGAAAAGAAAAGGACAGGAGGCCCCAGCTGGAAGATCCAGATAGGCTGGCTGATCAGAGCTTGGCCAACGTGTAGCAACTGCTGCCAAGCCCCCTCCCACAGGGCCCTGGGGGAACTTGGGGCTGGCTTAATATGTGTTGAAAAACCACTTCCAAGGCTGTGCTCATCCCTTGAGAGAAAAGCCACGTTGACAGCTTCTAGCTTCTAGCTGCATCTTCTGGTGCACTGGAAATGGTCCAACCCTTGGTGGCATCATCCTCCATCCCAACACACACGCACACACACACACACACACCTCTCCATTCCTGCTCCTGCGGGGCTCATTAAGTCATACCACACTGCAGGCTTCGCTGTGTCTGACTGCCACCTTTCGGACTGGGCTGTCAGCACAAACCCTCACTCACAAAGAGAAAGGCAGCTTCCCGTCCCTCCTGAGGTGTCTGTGTGAGTGTGTCCCAGAGCCTAGGGAAGGGAATGGTGGGAGAGAAGTGAGAACGGGCCTTTGTGGTAGTGGAGAGGTGGAATAGGGAAGGGAAGAGGAGAGAAAAGAAGATATGAACGTTGAGATATCAAGCAGGAGGCGGGAGAGAGCCTTTTCTTAGTGAAGCAGTAGGGCACCGTCACTAAGAAGGAAGATTCTGGGGAGTCAGACACCTCGAGCTGGAAATCAGCCTTGCCACTTACTAGCTGAGTGGCTCTGGGCAAGACACTCCCCTCTCTGAACCGCAGTTCTCAGATGTTGCTCTGAGGGTTAAATGAATTGTGTGTGATATGCCCGGCTTGGTTCCTGGCTCACTGGGTGAGCTCCGTAAGTGGCAGCGGTTGTTGCTGCCACTGCCACTGCTGTCCTCACTCCTGTTGGGGGACATGCTCCACTCCCATGTCCCGCCTCACCCCCCTCACTCACCCACTCCCTGGAGTGCGGGGACTTGTCATGGCTCCAATCACAGCATCTGTGGCTAGAGTGGCTTTTAGAGGCTCGGACTCAAACCACTGATCCAGCACCTGGACAGCACAAAGCAGAAAGAAGGGCTTAGGGTCCCTGATGGGAGGGGGGTCCCCTCACTGCCTGGTCTGGTCTGAGGCTGGGAAACTTCTCACCTTGGTAATGGGAGCTGTGAGGACCTCGTAATACCGGGGAAGCTGGGCTCCCAGGATGCGGCCTACAAGAAATGATTCACAAAACAGAAGTGGAAACAGGTAACAGGGAAACCCTTCGACCTGGCCCGGGGCAGGGCTTTAAAAGAAGGGAGGAGGCTGAGACTTCCTGCCAGGAGGTGGCATAGCATAGCCAATGCAGGGACAGATCTAGTCTGAGTCCTGGCCACACCTCTCACTGGCTGCAGGGCCTGGGCACATTTTTAACATCCCTGAACCTGCTTCTTTACCTGTAAAATGGGAATCCTATTTTATACCCTAAGGACTATGGTGAGAATTAAGTAAGCTAGGTAAAGCATTTGCAAGTTCATAGGCACTTAGTGCATTCAAGCAGTTAGCATTATTCTTGGAAAATATCAAGCATGTGATCAGCATGTCCTTATACAAGGAGGATGGGAGGTTTGGAGCAGAGCTGCCTCCACGGAGCTGCCACAGACACAAACACACGCATGATACCAGACCAAATCAGCTGAGCCAGCTGGGATCAGCTGAACCACAAAGATGTGTGGGAAACAAATGATTTGGTTTTTTTTTCTAGGATATAGAAGCTAAACTGGTGTGTATACCCTCAAGGAGGGTAGAAAATAATAGCACACTTTATGAGCCTTCCATTCTCATACTCATGGCAAACAATACTAATTGATCACAGAACTTCCCCTTGCTGAGCCCAAATCTAGCATTCTTTCTGTATGGGGCAGCTCTTCAAATCTCTTGGTCCCTATATCTTATTCGAGCCATGGCTTTTAGGCTGAGCTCCATGCAGGCTTTGATCAGCTTCACACGGTCAACTCCACAGCATCTCACTTCAGTCTTGAAAAGTGAGCCTCTCTATTTCTTCCCTAGGGCTTCTCTGGCACCACAGCAGGGCACTCATGGGAACCTACTTGGCATCCACAGATGCACAGCCTGGAAGCGTGGGAGTCAATGCCCTGTGAGGCAAGCCTTGACCAATGGGGGATAGAACTCAATGGATACTTTCCTTTCCATCTCCCGAGAAGGTTCCTCAAATGCATTTCATAAGGCTTCCCAGAGGGCCCACACAGGTCCAGCACCTTGTCACCCACAGTGCTGGCTGGTGCGACCACACACCCTGGTATTGACTCTTTCTCTCCCTCTTTCTCCTATTTTTATGCCGTGGCGTCACCCTTTCAAATGAACTACCCACGCATAAGCCTTGGTCTCAGGCTCTATTTTAAAGGCTCATCAGCCTAAGACACTCAACAAAGTGCTCCAGGCCGCCCCTAATTGATCACAGCATGTTAACCGAACCCAGCTGGCAGGCTGCACCGGAGGCCCAGGCTTGTGTCCAGGCATCAAGACAATGGACTTTCGTCCCTGAAGGTCACTCATCATGCTCCGGTGCCTGCACTTGGACTTACCTGCCTTCAGCAGGGGCTTGAGGGTGGAGAGCGACCTGATCCTTTGCAGCAGGGAGCCACGCTGGAAGGCCGCCATGTCCACGGGAGCCACATCCAGCAGAGGGTCAATGGCTAATGCCAAGCAGTGCATGAACTCCTCGTATCTGGGAAAGGCCTGGAACAGAGCTCTGCATCAAGGCTCCACCATCCACATCCTTGACCTCCATGCTGCCCCCACATGGCCTGTCACCCCCCACAGCATCACAGTTCCTCAGGCCTCATTCCCTGCTGTGGCTCGGCTTTGGCTCTGTTGAGCTCCCCCAGTTCCAGGTCTCTGGGTTAACATCAACACCAGGAAGAGTGCATGGGGTGGGGCTGGAGGGTCAGGGAGACCCTGGGCAACAGGAGAGCCACCAGGAGTGCCACAAGGAGCTAATGCTGGCCAACACAAAGTGTCACCCACAGAAAACTGGCAAGAATCTTAGAGTGTGGTCTCTGCGATAAACCATGAAATCACTTACAAGTTTCTTCCTTCTGTCCTTTTTTTTGAGACAGAGTCTCGCTCTGTCACCCAGGCTGGAGTGCAGTGGTGTGATCTCAGCTCACTGCAACCTCTGCCTCCCGGGTTCAAGTGATTCTCCTGCCTCAGCCTCCTGAGTAGCTGGGATTATAAGCATATGCCACCACACCGGCTAATTTTTGTATTTTTAGTAGAGACAGAGTTTCACCATGTTGGCCAGGCTGGTTACTAGCTTCTGACCGCAAGTGATCTGCCTGCCTCAGCCTCCCAAGGTGCTGGGATTCCAGGCGTGAGCCCCCACACCCAGCCTGTCTTTCTGTCCTTTCATATATTACTGGTAGAAGTTAGGCCTCCTTGCCTGTATTCTTTTCCAGTCTGTAGGTCTCCCATGCTGTCTCATCACCTGCAGTCACAGAAGCCTGCCAATCTCACCCCACAAGCTCCCATGTCAGAATCCACTTTTGGAAGCCTGGTTTCCAACACCCACCCCTCTTTCCCTGGTAGGCACAGGAGGAGTGACAGACGCCTGTGCTACGGGGGGCCCCACCTGATTCTTCTTAGCCCTGAACTTTGAATTTTGGTCCATCTGTACCCATGGACACACCCATGGCATTTTAATAAGTATTACGTAAAGAAAAGTCCCATGTTAAAATACATTTGAGATGTCTTGGTAAAAATGAAGTTAAACAGCTTCCTCTAAGCAGGCCTTTAATATGACAGCATGAAAAGACAAAACCAGAAATCAAGCTCCTCACTTTCCATGATGGGAAATGGGCCCTTGTCTCCTGCGTGTGTGGTCGCTAGAGCGTAGGGCCACAGCTAGTGTCCTGCAGGCCCGGGGACCTGGCCTTGTGCCCAATCCCCTCAAGTGCATCTGAGGTGGGCAGGATTTGGAAGAGAGGAAGCAGGCGGTGGTCTCTAACTTGCTGCATAAAAGAACCCCCAGAGAAGCACTTTTAAAAAGCTAAGCCTCTCGGGCCAGGTGCGGTGGTTCATGCTTGTCATCCTAGCACTTTGGGTTGCTGAGGTGAGAGGATGGCTTGAGCTCAAGAGTTCCAGATCAGCTTGGGTAACACAGTGAGACCTTTGTCTCTACAAAAAAATTAAAAATAACTTAGCCGGGTATGGTGGTGCATGCCTGTAATCCCAGCTACTCAGGTGGTTGAGGCAGGAGGCTTGCTTGGGCCCCGGAGGTGGAGGGTGCCGTGAGCCAAGATCGCACTGCTGCACTCCAGCCTGGGTGACAGGGTGAGACCCTGTCTCAAAAATAAAGAAAATAAAATAACAAAATAAAAGGGTCAGCTCCTCAGGTGATTCTGATCATCAGCCAGGTTTGAAAACTGTTGGCTGAAGAGATGTACAGGCTGTGTGTTTGCAGTTCTCTAAGTTTTACCCAACATTAGATTAACACAACAAGAGCAATGTACACGGTTCTATTAACCTAGGTTCTTCCTACAAAAATGTCTCCACCTCGGCCTGTATCCAGGCTTCATACAAAATGGCCATTCAAATAATCTTTCCATATCTGCAGAACCAATCGTGGCAGGCCCCTGCTGGAACTCAGCGACTCGTCTAGACAAAGCCACCCAGCAAATTCCTAGAATGCAATCCCAAGGAAAAAGAAGTGCATTCCCCATCTGTCATGTGTTCCTGCTGTCACCAGACCTGCACTCCATCATGGACACTTTGTTGCCTTGGGCAGCCAGGATGGAGCCTTGGGATGCCACACTGAATGAATACTTAGAACTCCCTTGTCCTAAGTTCCTGATCCAGTTCATTTTAACCTTAATTGTCTCTGATCTTCCCTCATCCTCCTTTTCGGCTTTCATGTGGACAGACACTTGGAACTCTGTCTGAAAGCAGGAGGGGTATGAAGCACATAACCAGTGTGAGAACATGCCAGTGCATTTCCTCTTGAACTCAGCATGCACAGCCCTGGGACAGGGGCCGCATACTCACACACGCAGGTGTGCGGGCCTCCCAGTTTACTGGTCTTAATTGGCATCCTCCACCTGCTTCTCTTCACAGTACCTGAGATCAAGAGCTGGCACTGACCGGAGTTCTCAGGAATGTGGGGTGGCCTGGCCCAGTGCCCATGGCCTTTGGACAATTGTTCTAGCACAATCCAACCAGACCCCTCTCCAGGCTGCTGAGGGAGGAGGAGCTCAGTTACTGGTTGCCTTCCCTACCTGGGCATCTTTCCGGGAGAACTGGGCGATCTGCTTCTGGTTTTCTGCCATGTCTGTGCCCAGCAGAAGGGACCTGGGCACCTTGCCGCCTGCACCCTCTTCCAGCATGGGGGTGAAGGAGTGGGGGTTTCGAAGATGAAGCCTCAGCCCATGTTTCTGCAGCACACAAACAGCACAGGCAACATATTAATGGTTCTGTGGTCTCTGCCCATCACCCTTCTCCAACTGTGTCTGTGTGACCATTTAGGTACCTGTGTGCAGGTTCCCAAGTATATGACCCTGGTGTCTGTTTTTTAAATATAAGTTTATAGAAAGCCGTCTTGCCCAAGTGCCCTATGGTAGACGATGCTGTATCACACTGCAGTACACTATACCATTCTATACCATACCATACATACCACACATGCCATGCCATACACCATCACACCGTGTCACACTACCTTATACCATACCACACCACCTCACACCATACACACCATGCCATACCACACCCTACCATGCCATATGATACTATACCATGCCATACCACATCACACTACACCATGTCATACTACACCATACTATACCATGCCACATCATACCACACCAAACTACACCAAGCCACATCATACCACATCATACTATACCACACCATGTCATACCACACACTACACCACGCCACGTCATACCACACCACACCATGTCACGCTCATTGTATGCCAGGGACTGTACTAGGGTTTACAGTGGTTACCTCACAACAGCTTTGTAATGTGATGTAACAGTCTTGCATCACTTAACAATGGGGCTATGTTCTGAGAAATGCATTGTTAGGCAATTTCATCACAGTTTGAGCATCACAGAGTGTACCTACACACACCTACATCTGATAGCCTACTACACACTTGTAGCCCGTTGCTGCAAGCCTGCATTAAAATGTTACTGCACTGAATACTATAGACAACTGTAATACGATGGTGAGTATTGGTGTATCTAAACATATCTAGGCTGGGTGCAGTGGCCCATGCCTGTAATTCCAGCACTTTAAAGGGAGGCTGAGGCAGGAGGATCACTTGAGGTCAGGAGTTCGAGACCAGCCTGGCAAATATGGTGAAACCCCATCTCTACTAAAAATACAAAAATAGGCCAGGTGTAGTGGCGCATGCCTGTAATCCCAGCTACTCGAGAGGCTGAGGCAGGAGAATTGCATGAACCCAGAAGGCGGAGGTTGCAGTGAGCCGAGATCGCACCACCGCACTCCAGCATAGTGACAGAGTGAGACTCTGTCTCAACAAAACAAACCCCCTAAAACATATCCAAACATAGAAGAGGTATATTAAGAATATGGCATAAAAAATAAAAAATGATGCTGTATAGCGCCCTCGAGGTGAATGGAGCCTGCAGGGCCGGAAGCTGCTCTGGATGAGTGAGTGTGAGTGGGTGTGAAGGCCAGCACACTGCTGTACGGTCCTGCACACTTTATAAATACAGCACACGTAGGCCACACTACATTTATTAAAACATTCTCTTCAGCAAGTTAGCTCACTGCAACTTTTAAACTTTATAAACGTTTTAATTTTTAAAACCTTTTTGATTATTTTAAAGACACTTGGCCTAAAACACAAACACATTGTACAGCTACGTAAAAATATTTCTATATATCCTCATTCTATAGTTTTTTCCTGTTTTTACAACTTTTATTTTTATTTTTTACTTTTTAAACTTTTTTGCTAAAAAGTGACATGCAAACACATCAGCCTAGGCCTGCACAGAGACAGGATCGTCAATATCACTGCCCTTCCACCTCCACATCCTGTCCCACTGCAGGGTTCTAGGACATCCTGTCCCACTGCAGGGTTCCAGGGACAGTAACACACGTGGAGCTGTCATCTCCTAGACAGCAATGCCTTCTGCTGGATACCTCCTGACAGACCTGCCTGAGGCTGTTTTACAATGAATTTGTTAAACAAGGAAAAGGAAAACACTCTAAAGTAGTGATACAAAGTATAGTATAATAAATACATTAGCCAGTGACAAAGTCATTTACTATCAAGTATCATGTGCCGTATATAATTGCATGTACTAGATTTTAGACCATGGCAGCACAGTGGGAGTATCGCCACAAACACATGAGTAACATGTTGCACTGTGAGTATGACATCGCTGAGAGACAGGGACTTTTTCAGCTCCATTGTGAGCTTAGGGGACCACTACTGTCTATAGTCTGTCATTGACCGACATGGCGTCACGTGGCACGTGGCTGCCTCATTATCCTCATTGTACAAAAGCAACAAGAGAGGCTCAGAGGAGTTAAATAACTTGTCCCAGGTCACTGGGAGGTAGATCTGGGTTTCCAAACCCCACAGCTCTGTAACTCCAAGGCCCTGGCTCTCAGCACCGGGCTGTAACTGCCCCACTTCAGAAATAAATAATAAAATTTAGAAAGACACAATAAAGCAGTGGTTATGTGAAAATCTATACTTACAAGGTAGATAAATTATTCACATCAGAACATTTTATTTACTTTGCAGACTCATTTACTCCAGGGTCACTTTAAATGGAAGTTCCCTTGATGCATTTAAAATATGATTTGATTTACAAATATTTGATTAGCACACAGAACTTCCCAAGCGCACATCTACTTCTGCAAACGAGGCACAGATAGAACAAAAGGGGCCCGTGCTACCTCCAGCTTCTGCTGTGGAGACTTCCTTCTCCAGATCCGCGGCCTGGGCGGGAATGCTGCCGCATCAGCCAGGCCTCCCCTGCACTGCCGGCACCCTCACCCTGCAAGAGTCTCCTCCAGAGCACTTGTCCCCACATGGCTAACCACATATTTAGTGTTTTCGTTGTCTCCCCACGTAGAATGTAAGCCCTGTGAGGTCAGGGGCACTGTCTATTTTATCCACCGCTGTGCCCCCGCGTGCAGACATTCTGCTGACGGAATAAAATGGTAGGGCCACAGAAGACAGACGAGATCTGTGAGTGGAGGTTTTAGGAAAGCGCGAGGAAACCCAAAACAGGCTTTTCCAACAATCACCGCTGGGGTCGCTCCACACGGGGGCCTCCAGGCGGGCGGGCTCGCGGCGGCTCCCGCACTCTGCGGCGGGAGTCCCGACACTGCCAGGGGCCGGCGCCGGCGTCGGCGCCGGCGCCGGGAGGCCGCTGGGGTCCTTCCTAACCCTGAGATGGAGACATTGTTTGACTCCAAGCTGGACAAACTTCCAGCTTGGTTGTTCTTAATGCAGTGAACACTCTCACACCCAGGACGCAGCCTCAGTTTCTCTCCTTGTCATCCTTGACATCGCGTCCGCTGCCTCCAGCGTCTGCGCGCGTCCCTCCAAGCCGCCATTTTGGGAAGCGCTGCCGCAGAGCCTGGCGGTCCACATGCGGCCCCGCCTGATCCCACCCAGTCCTCACCAGCCAGCCGGCCGGCTGACCCTCTGTAAATCACAAATCCTAGCGCTGAAATTCCTGATCACACACCCCACTTGCTTCCGCTGCACTTGGATAAAATGCAGTCCCTGAGGTGGCCCCTGCCCCTCCCACCCCAGTCTGCCGCCCTCTGCCTGTCACTCCACTGCTCTGGCCACACTGACCCGCCTTCTGCTCACGCCGGCCTGTGTGGGTCCATCTCTTCTTCCCTCTGACTAGAGGCTCTGCCCAGATGTCCACATGGCTGCTGCTGGTGGCCTCTTGGTATTTGAATACCTGCTCAAATGTCGCCTCCTTGAGGAAGATGTCCTTCCTGGTCACCATCCAGGCTGGAATCTCCACTTTCTCTAATCCTGCCTTCTTTTCTTTTCTTCTTGGCACTTAGCTCTACCTGAAGTTCTCTGCCTAACAGCAGGGTCCTTGCCTTCCTAGTTCACGGCTGTACTCCCAAGGGCTTCTCTGTGTCTGGCCACAGCAGGTGCTCAGAAACATGGACTGAATGAATGAGTGAATGAATGACCCCCTAAATCAGGGACCTAAGAGGAATGCAAAAGTTATTTCAAGTATAACTAATTGACTATGAATAATTTTTCATTTCATTCCAGGACTTTCTCTTATAAATGGAGGCTCTGTCATTCTTAATGGTGTTAAATCAAATTTAGCTTAAAGCTGCCTCTTTAAATACACTAAGCTCAGCCTAAAGGTTTCTCTGTTCATAGTGAACTATAACCTAGAAGGAGGTGTAAACCGATGGTAACCTACTCCTGTGTCAATCGCTGAGTTTTGGCCAATCAAAGGGGAGCAGATGAGCTGTAACCAATCTGGCTGTTTCTGTTCCATTTTCTGTACATCACTTTTCACGTTCTGTCTATAAATCTTCTTCCACCACGGGGCTCTGCTGGAGACTCTGAACATACTCTGGCTCAGGAGGCTGATCCATTTATGAATCATTCTTTGCTCAATTAAACTCTGTTAAATTTAATTTGGTAAAGGTTTTTCTTTTAACGATGGTTTTAATATGCAGAGTCTGAATGAGAAGGGAAATGTTAAATAACCATCAGATTATATCCATGGATTTGTTCAGATTATGGAGTTTTTTTCTTAAAAACAAAACAAAATAAAACAAAATGAAAGCAAAACCCTTCTTTTATTTACCCCATGAGAGTTCTCAGCATGCATAGCCATCTGGATGGAAGCTGCTGGAAAGGGTGTGTACGTGAAGGGTGTGTGTCTAAAGGACCAGAGATATGAGTGATTTAAAGGGCGGGCTTCTCAAAGTTGTGTTCCGGGGGCCTCCTCTTTCAGAATGACCTGAGAATGCTATAAAAATGACCTTTTCTGGGCCCCACCACTGCCATGAATCAGACCTGTGAGCAAGAACCCAGGGAAGTCTCCACTTCCCCAGCAGTTTCCCGGGTCATAGTCTGTGGCCCTGCCAGTTTGAGAGGCCCGCCTTAGAGAGATTTCCAGGAGAAAAGCAAGAGCAAAATGAACAAGGACGAGACCCAGAAGGTCAGTGAGGGAGGGGAGGGAGTATGGGGTTGCCTCTGGCAATGAGGTCAAGGCTGGCCCAGGGTGGAGGTGGGCAAGGTGGCTTCTGGCTGGTGGGGATGAAAAGCCCCATTCCATACCCTCCTCTCTGTCAGTGCAAAGGCTCTGCCCTGCCAGCCTGGATTCTATCACCCAGCACGGGGCCGCTGCAAAAGCACACTCATTTTCTAGGTGGATGGAACTGGGAAGTGATCCAATTCAGTGCTCGCATTGACAGCTGTGGAAACTAATTCCCAGGACAGGGAGGCCGCTGGGGTCCTGCCCTGGTAGGGACCACAGCGGGTCAGTGGAGGGTATTTAGGCTCAGGGAGGAGAGGAGGTGCAGGGGTGCCAAAGTCAAGCCTCACACTTTAGTCCAGGCTACAGCCTTGTAAGGGGCAGGGTGGGTGAGGAGTCACCAGCCATGGGTCTTTCTGGAGCCTCAGTTTTCTCAAGTGCCAAATGGGGGTGATAATAATACCAACAAGTACCAAGCCCTTCTGTGCACCAGGTACTGTGCTGATGTAGCCTTAGAAGGCAGGTGCTGTTACCATTCCCATCTTACAGATGAGGAAGAATTTCACCACGTGGTGAGCTGTGGAGCAGGGAGGCAGACGCAGCCGGCTAGTTTCCAGCAGCTCCAGTCTCGGCCTCTGTGCACACCCAGGCTGGAGCTGCCAGGGGTGCTCTGTCTATGACCACGTGTGTGAGTCTCAGTGGTACCGGTACAAGAGGCCTGGACAAGGACAAGAGGCTCAAGAACAAAGAGTAGGGGACAGTCAGGCCTTGGCTGGAATTCTCCATCACTTTCTAGCTGTGTGAACTTAACCCCTGAGCTTTAGCTCTCTGATTGTAAAATAGTTCTTGCCTTACAGGTGAGGATCGATTGAGATAGAACATTGAAGGTCATAGTCCAGGATGTGATGCTGGTAAAATAAATGCTCTCCATTACAGTTTTGGAAAGAGAATATTCCTGGAAAGAGTTTAGTTGCCCTCCTGTCGATGCCCTCCAGGCTGTCAATGTCCTGCTAAAACAAGGTTCTCCAGATGGGGCAAGTCCTGCACGTCACGCACCAGGACTGCTTTCTCCCTTGATCTGGGCACCGTACTCCTATTGATGCAGCCCAAGGCAGAGGTTAAAGCATCTGCTCAGTTCACTTGGGAACTTCTAGGTGAAGGAACACTATGACAAATACCATTTCAAACGAGTAACGTTTTTTAAATAAAGAGAATAATCAAGTGAAAATCTCTATTCTGTGATTCTTCGTCTCATAAATCAGGTTTGCCAAAGGAGGGTCCCCGCTCCCCAACATCTGCCACTATGAATAAGTGGCGCATTTACAAATTGCCTGCTGCTGTGGTCTGGACTGGACTGAAGGCCAGCAACCCACCCCCAGGCCTCGCTGAATTTCATCCAGTACTGGTACCAGGATGCACATACTCTGTCTCAGTGGCTTGACGGACTCTCTACATGAACCAGTTAGAGCAGCCAAAGAGCTGTGAAAGCCGCTGGACTTCTTACTAGCTTCAAATTTTGAGTTTAGAGCAAAGATGGTGCCAAAGTGAGTGGCAGCTGCTTGTGCAGACGGCACCAAGAACCTTTTTCTCTGAACGGTGGGTGACAGTGGCACCAAGCAGGTAGAAGCCAGTCAGCCTCAGGAATGTGGTGATGTGGTTTATAAGACAGTGGGGGTGAAGGAAGGTGAAAGCGTGGGGGCCAGGCTTGGGCAAGACTGTGGACGAAGGTCAGCGGACTAAGAGAGGCAAACAGCACCAGATGAGCCTCCCAGGATCCCTCCAAACAGCCCGGGAGCCAGAAGAGGTGAAAGTCCCCGGGCCCCACTTCCTGCTCCAGCTGCCAAGAGAGGAAAGCAGCTCTACACTTGAATGAGGGCAGAAATCAGGCCCATGGCCCAAGGCTGCTGTAAGCTCAGGCACCCAAGGCTTCAGACAGGTGTTCCAAGTGGGCCTGAGGGTGACAAAGCCCGTTCTTCAAAAGAGGTCTGATTTTTGTATGATATTTCACACTTTTCAAGACACTATATGGATGAGACAAAACCCGTCTGTGCGAACGCAGCAGGGAGACCATGTGGGATACACAAGACATGGGTGGAAGAGAGAGCCCTCAGGGGTGGGCATCACCTTGGGCACAGAACAGGGAACCTCCACCCAGGTTGGGAAGATGAAACTGCTGCCTCCCTCCCCACAATTGGGTCAGGGGGACCCTACCTTCAGCTCCAGGTCAGTGTAAATCTGTGGCCTCAGCAGGCTGAGCAGGTAGGATGCACGGGAGAACTTAAACTCTGAAACCAAATCCGATGAAGACCGTCATCAGGGGTCAGCAGGGATGAAGACCGTCACCAGGGTCACCAGGGATGAAGACCGTCACCAGGGTCACCGGGGATGAGACAGTCACCAGGGTCACCGGGGATGAAGACCGTCACCAGGGTCTCCGGGGATGAAGACCGTCACCAGGGTCACCGGGGATGAAGACCGTCACCAGGGTCTCCGGGGATGAAGACCATCACCACGGTCACCGGGGATGAAGACTGTCACCAGGGTCACCGGGGATGAAGACCGTCACCAGGAGTCACTGCCCTCTGCTCCTCCATGCCATATCAGAGCTCACCTGGGATGATCTCCTCAGTGACAGCTGCACCGCCGATCACATGGCGTGTTTCGAAGATGGCGGTGTTCACCCCCAGTCTCTGCAGGTATGCTGCCTGGGAAGAGGGGGCGGCACATGGGGCCCTCCCTGTATCCCTCTGAAACGTCCAGGCTCCCTGGAGCTGACCCACAGACTAAGGTCTTCACTCTAGGCCAGCGTGCACCACACCCCACCCACGGCCTCCCCACCTGCTCGTGCTATTTCTGCCTCTGGGAATGCCCCTCCCTGTGCTTCTCCTTCCACTCTCGCCTTTCATAGATGTCCTCTAAGATCCAACACGCCTGTGTTCTGCCCCTCCACTTCCCAGCTGAAGGCAGTCTTCCCTCCTTAGCAGCCTATGCCTTGGGGACTCACGTTGCTTCCTGCCACCCTGCCCTGGGACGTCCCTCTCTTCCAGGCAGGGAGCAAACCTCATTTCTCCTGTGGTCGCAGCATGGTGAGGTCGAACTTGTGAATGCTGACCCCTCCGCCCAGGTTCAGCCCCTCGTTCTCTCTCTGCTGCTGCAGCCTCAGTACCTGATCCACCTGGCTTCAGTTTGCTCACGTGCAAAAATGGGGCTAATGAAAATACTCCTGACTTTACCCACTTCATAAAGCTGCTGTGAGGATGAACTGAGCTGGTCCTTAGACAGGACTTTAAGTTGTCCCTGGCACAGAGAATGTGCCCATAAATGAAGCTGTTCATAGCAGAGCTTTATTTTGGGAGAACAAATGATGCAAGGATTTCTATTAGCTTTTTTCCTAGCATTTAGTGGAAAAATCAATAAATATTTGTTGAACCAAACTGGTCATAAGTCTACCAATCTAAAATGCTGGCCCTTCCACCACCACTGATGCCAGTGGGACCGCAGGAATGGTGTCATGAGAAAGACTTTTCAAAAAGCTCACTTGAAACTATTATGTGCCAGAAACAGTGAGTACATCGCCTTGTTTAATTTTTCCCACCAGCCAAGAGGTAGGTACTGATTCTCCCATTTTACAGATGACAAAACAGAGGCTCAATGAGCGTAACAGCTTGCCTCAGGCTCACAGTGCTGATGAGTAGAGGTGTTGGGAAATGAAACCAGACAGTGTGAAACCAGCATCTGTCCTCCTAACACATCCCACTGAGAAACAGCAGCCGTCACTCAGTGGCTGAGGCCTGGCACACAAGGTAAGCTACATCATTCTCCTATGACACGGGAACGATCTCACAGATTGACAACCTCAACAAGGTTTCTCTGAGACGATGATACAATGAGGCAAGCACCAACAATAGCAATGTCTCCGTACCTAACACCAAACCCCTGTCTTGGCTGAAGTGAGTGACTGCTGCTTCTTTACCAATAACGCCTCTCCTTACACTCGTCTTTCCTCCCTACAGATCAGACTTCTTGAGCTGCCCAGTTGCAGGCTGTCCCTCCTTCCTGACAGTATCGAATCTACGGCAACCCCTATTTTCTCAAGCCTTCCCTCGAATCATCAACCAAAGCCCAAATCCTGTGCTAGGTTCTTTCTAAAACCTTCTTACTGAGGCATCCTGAGGTTCCCATGATGCAGACTTCCCTCACTGCAAAGAGCGAGAAACCCAACTAGACTAACTACAAGTGTGTTCCTGGTGGGCTTTGGCAGAAGGGCATGGATGCTAGCCTTCCCTGGGCTGGAAACTTCCAATAATAGCCACCATGTGTGCAAGGCTGCATGCGCTAGGTCCTAGCAGCAAATGATCTATTACCTTCACAACAGCTCTGTGAGGGCAGGTGCCATTTTTCCATTCTACCTCAGCTCAGAGAGGCTAAGTGACTCACCTTAACCTTCACAAATAGAAAGTGGCAGAGCTGGGAGATGAATCTTTGTTTATATTAATATAAAATCAGGCTGGGCATGGTGGCTTACACCTGTAATCTCAGTACTTCGAGAGACTGAGGCAGGTGGGTCCTCTAAGGTCAGGAGTTCAAGACCAGCCTGGCCAACATGGTGAAACCCCGTCTCTACTAAAAATAAAAAATTAGCTGGGTGTGGAGATGTGCACCTGTAATCCCAGCTGCTCCAGAGGCTGAAGCAGGAGAATTGCTTGAACCCAGAAAGCGGAAGTTGCAGTGAGCCGAGATCGTGTCATGCACTCTAGCCTGGGTGATAAGCAAAACTCCATCTCAAAAAAAATTTTTTTAATAAAATAAAATAAATGTTTTAAATTACTGATCCATTGCAATACAAAATGAGCCATGTAAAATATTCAAGTAAAACTTACACATCAGGTAAATATTAAGGTTTAACATCAGTCCATTAGCACATTCACATTGTTTCCCTCTACATTGATATTCTAGAGCTGCCACTGCTTCAGGAAGTTGTTCCATGTTTGTTTTGTGGCCTTGAATACCTTATGTGGCCTCCTGGAGGTACCTGGACTTAGGTTTGAGAAGCTTAGGCTAGGGCTAGCTCTGGGCTACCCAGCTCGGGTTGGGATCTGGAAGTCAGTTGTGCTGGGGACAGGGTGCTGGCCCTTCTGCTAGGCTGAGCGCCTCAATGTCTCTGGGGCACTCTTTGGCCACATAGTGGCTGTGTACCTCAGGGTACACAGGGTGGTACGTGGCCTGGACCTGGCTGGGAGGACAGGGCTCTGGACACAGGGCTGCCTGTGATCTGGAGTCAAGGGCCCCACCCTGCCCCAGGTGCCCAGTCCCCTGGTTCCCACCTGCTCCCATGCTGTGTTGGTTACATGCTTCTCCATCTTGTCAGCTTGCTTTTGGAAGCTCCCTGACTCCCTCACAGGCCATGGGGGAAACCACCTTTCCCCATTAGGGGAAGGAGAGGAAAGGAGCCTGTGATGTCCTCAACAGGCTGCAGATGCACATCCACCCAGCCCCTGGTCAGCACTGGACGGCAGAGCGTCGATTAGCCTGCCTCCTCCTTCACTCTTGAGGCCCTTATCCCACCTGCTTCTTCGCACTCCCTCCCAGGCTGCTGAGAGCCACTCGCCCAAAGGTCAGGGAAGTGGGATCAAGTGGGGAGGTACTCACAGCCACCAGTCCGTTGTGTCCTGCAATAAGACAGGGGAGAGGGAAGGAAAGCATCACTGTTCAGCGGGTGGGCAGACGGACACAGTCCTTGAGGACTGTGCTCACTGCTCCCCGTCCCCAAGCCCATGAAGATCCTTGGTGGCCCCTCCTCTCCCCTTCCTGCTCTCAGATGTTGGAACAGCATGTAGCTCAACTCCATGAAATACCGGATCTCCAAGGAGTCAGAAAACCCCAGTTCTTGCCTTAGCTGGATAAGTCCTGCTCCCCTGGCTTAGTCAGTGGCTCTGCTGGAGTGAAGGGCTAATGAGAGCATCGCTGGGGCTTCCATCGTTTGTGGGGTGCAGGTGACGGTGTCTGAGGGAGCAGCATGGTTGACTTGGCAAGAAGGAGAAGCAATGGGTGGCTGGCATGCTGGTGCGCCAACGTTCCGTCTCACATGTCATCACTGGCATCCAGGGGAGTGCTGGTCATGTGGGTAGCTGCTGTCAAGCGTGGCTTGTTTTGCCCACATGTGGTTCACAATCAGCACAGTGGTCCCTAGAAGGCTTTATCCACATGGGTTTGTTTTTGCCAGTCTCCAGGGTTCCAAAAATAAAATATGAATGGTTCCACCCACATGCAGTAAACATAGATAGCTTCAACATGTGCTGGAGTGGCTAGCTGTGCTTTAGGGCACCTTGGGCTGACAGCCCTGAATTTGGCTTTGGTATCTTATGTTCCACACCAAGCCCATGGGTAGCGAGTGCCTCTCCAGCCCTGATGAGCTCAGAAACACCTAGGAGGTTGTGTAAACGTCAATTCCCAGACCCCTCCTCAGGGGTCTATTCAGCAGGTGTTTCACAGAACCAAAGTTTCATGAGCTAAAATTAACTCTTACCATGTGAGAAGCTAGTTGGTTATAGTTCATCTTAAAAAGTGCTGCTTAATGTACTCTTTATCTGTATGGGCTTTTGAAATGTTCCTAAGGAAGTTTAAACAATCTGCCGGTTGGAACTCATGAACAGATGGAATCTGAGTTTGAAAACCCCCGTCTCTCAAAGACACATGCAACAGACTAAAGGCAGATAGTCCTGGGCTCGGCTCAGCCTCTGCTGTTTACCAGGGCTTGGTGCCAGAGAGTTGTCAGCTGCCCTGAGCCTTGAGCTTCTTCACATGGGGAACAGAGGGTGCCGGGGACCCTGCAGTGTGGCAGGGATGAGATAAATGGGAGCTATTTGTCTTTTAATTGGTGCGGATGAACAGTCTTGGAAAACTCAAAGTTTTCCAGGCAACTGGGTCCAGTTCAATCACGGCAGACCTCAAATGACTAAGGTCAAGGATCCAAAGCACAAGACCCCCTCCCAGTACCCACCCCCAAGCTCTGGCTGAGCCCTCCTTGGCTTCTGTTGATGCTGCTGTTCCCTTGAAGAGGACTTCAGCTGTGGGCCCCATGAATCCCAGGCCTGCCTCGGGGATCCCACAGCAGGCGCCTGGCCCTTGAGGAGCTGCTCTGGGCGTGGGCTTTGTAGCTGCCGGCATCAGGCAGTGTTGGCTGGAGTCACCTTCTGCCCTCAGAATGCTCATCACCAGGTACAGGGCCAGGAATCTCAATTTTAACAAGCTCCTCAGTCATTCTTAGACACATTTAGTCAAATGACTAAGTCAGAGCATCTTCAAGGTGGCTGCCAGGTGCCAGTGTGACTTGAGGGACTCAGAGGTAAACCTTGTCTCAGAAGATGCCACTCTGTTCCTCACTCAGGCCCAAGATGCCTTGGATTCATGGTATGTTTAGCAACTAAAGAAATCATGTCAAGGAAAAGCTCACACATTGAGACTCACTCGCACTTGTAGGCAAGTCACCAAGGCAGCTGGCGACCTAGAGTCAACCTTCCCCATTAGGAGACAGCGCGGTGGGAGCTGTGGCTGAGCACGGAAGGGGGCAGCGGGGCTTGTCTGAGGCTAAGCGAGGTGCTGCAGATGGCTCTCACCAGCCCAGGAAGTTTGTGAGCTGGCTGTCAAACAGCCATTGTTACAAACGAAATTATATAAGCTTACAATTAAATAAATTATATTAAAAACAAAGGCAATAAATACTCAAAACACATTACCTCCTATTTTTTTTTACTCCATTTAACTGTTAGCCATGCCGTTGCAGTCATTTGCCTCTAAGTACATATCTGCATGGTAGACACACTATACAATGACATGCTACTGGGTATCTCTCCCAAATAACATCCAACAACTTCATCTTGGTGACAAAAAAGGCTATGGTGGGAGTATTTACACCACTGTCAACAGCAAATATTACACAGCAGGGGTGAATTTATTGTTCTGTGGTCAGGCTTAAGAAAGCAATGGGAAAATAGTAATAATGCAGATTATACCTAACAGTGTTAGCTGTTACAGCATAAATAAATAGGAAAAAAAGTGAAGAAAATATTCTAGTATTAGAAAAACATTAACTTATTTGAGTAACATAATTCTTGTCATTTAAAGGAGTAAAGCTGGGACATAATCTTTGCTGTTTCACTTGTTTCATACTCATCCTGCTCTTCACAGAAAATATGGAGCACTGTTCTCTTTGGAGCTACCCTCATTTGTCAATTGCAACTATAGGTTGGCTACTGAGTTTGGCAAAAATCAAAGAAAGTCTTTGGTAAGAATCAGTTGGCTACACTGCATTTAAATTGAGAGTATGGCATTTTTATTTGTAAAATTGTGTGTAACGTATCTATTTCAATATTTAAAATATATGTACTTATGTATCACACATTTATACGTGTATATGTATACATACACATGTACACATACACACATGTGGATATATACGTACATATACACACGTACACACACATCACACATTTTTCCCTGGAGAGGTGACTGTTGAGTATCTACCAGCTCGCACTGCTCTTGCACATACAAAAGTGAAGGCTTGCCCGCAGAACTGCATGAAGAGTGCCGTCTGCTTCCAGTCCCGTCACTATCTCTGTATAGAGCTAGCTGGCAATCACACATCTGGGGCCCTCTGCAAGTGTGACTGGAAGGCACTAAGGAAAGGCCACCTGGTCCTGGGCCTGCCTCTTCCCCCAGCACCCAGTAGACTTTGATACTCTGAGCCTAGGGATTGGCAAAGTGTGGCAGGATCCCCGCAGACCCCCAAATATCCCAGAGGTGCAAGGCAGTGGGGGCCATCTCCCTCTGTAGACATGCAGCAGGAACTCTGGGACTCAGTTCTATTTTATCCTAACTGGCCTTTATGAAGTGACCACAGTTTCCTTTGAGGATGGGAGGCCTCAGTGGTAAGGTAGTAAGAACAGAACTCAGGGCACTGGGGGTGGCTGGATTTCACGGTCTGTCTGGGAGGCCTCAGTGATAAGGTAGTGTGATCAGAACTCGGCACTGGAGGTGGAGGGATTTCGCTTGTCTGCTGTCCCAGGGTGCCGTCCAACCCTGACAAACCATAGGCTTTCTGAGAATGTGGTAGAAACTAGGTCATTTTGCAGGAGATATAGGGAAAACCCTGAGCACACCTAGGCTTCGTCATTCTTCATGGGAAGATCCAAGCCCAGAGAAGGCAAGCATTTATCCCAGGCCACACAGCGGCGCCAGCACCGGAATCCCAGGTGCCTGCCTGCCAGATGGAAGGGCTTTCCATTGCAGCCTCTGCTATCACATAAGCTTCTGGCTGGGTTATGCCCGAGGAGAGAGGAGTGGGGCTTGGCAAAGCCTCCCCTCCCCACCAGGCTCTGAGCAGGGCTGCCCCTCCACCCCTCAGCTCTGGCCCAGCCTGCTTTACCACTTTACCTGCTCCTATTACCACCGCATCATACTCAGGCTTTAGCCCTCCCCGGGCTTCCGAGTGAGCTCGTCTCCAAGCAGGGAAGGGAGAGGCGGCCGCAGCCTTGCAGAGTCCTCGGCCACTTGCAGCCATTTCTGCCCCAGGCTGGGCCTTGCTAGGCAGGGAGTTTGCTAGCGATTGGCCTTTGCACTGCCCTAGGCAGGGGGTGGGGCAGGGAGGAAGCAGGAAGAGGAGGAGCTGCAGCCGCCCGCCCCACTTCCTGCATTCTTGGCCGTGCGCCAGCCTCCTGCTGCTGTGTGGCTGTGCTGGGTCTTCCCGGAGGGGTTGCCTGTTAACCAGGACGGGTCACCTCCAGGACGCAGGAGAGTAATGGCAACTGATCATCCAGGGGGTTCCCACGTCAGGCTGGCACTGTGCTGAACCCCGCAGGCAAAACTCTCCATTTTACGGATGAGGGTGCTGAGGCTGCCGGTTTAGGGAGTGAGTGGCAGAGCCAGAGCCAGAGTAGAGCTCCAAAGCCCCTCTCTTGCCCTGTGCGCCTCACTTCTCACTAAGAACTGAAATGCCTGGGATGGGAAGTGCTCGGGTCAGTCTCTGCTCTCACTCCATGCAGAGTCTGACAGTGCAAAGTGGTGATGTCTCTACACCCACAGGAGGGCCTAGGTCAGCACACCGGGGCCTTCGGACACTGCAGAGGCGGCCGTATCTGTCGCTGAGGAGCGCTGGCGCTCAAACACATCCCTCAACGGGCTGCTGCAGAACGTCACCAGGGCTTAGGGGCAAGTTCACTGTCCTTAATTCCCTGAGTTTGCTTTTTCCTTTGGAGGGCCAGGCCATTTCTCTTCTTTTGGCACCTTGCCTATTTTTCAAGAATTCTCAAGGATTAGAGATCACATCTGTAAATACCTCCAGCTAAAGTTCTTTCTGACCCTCTCTTAGGCCTGCCTTGAATTAGGAGCCCCTTTGTTCTCTGCCCATTCCCCTAGGAGGGAAAGCCCCTCGGGATGGAGAGGCCCTTGGCTGATCTGACATTGCCTGTGACGGAAACCTGCTATGGGTAATGAATCTCAGACCTGGGGGAGTATGTGGAGATGATCTAAGAGGGGGTCCGAGGACTCCTCCACACACGACAGCCAACCTGCATGGGGGCATCTCTGCTAAGATCTGATGAGGAGGTCTGAGGACCCCCCCACACGCGTGGACAGCCAACCCGCATGAGGGCATCTCTGCTAAGATCTGATTCAGGATCTCCACCCCCATGTTATTGATTATAAAAAAGATCAAGGGGACTGGTTAAACCAGACATATACCACATCAAGCCGCTGCTAAAAACTAAGGGAAAATAGTAGGTGACAAAAGCAGGGGTTCTGAACAGTGGTGGGCTTAGAGGCTTAGGGTTTTTTCCTGTATGTTTCTGTTTTCCACAATCCATGTGTTTCATTTCCATCCATCAGATGATGATGTTAGGGAGGAACACAGATCCAGTTACCTCAGGGGACACTTCCTCACTGCCACCTTCTCAGGGTTTGGCCCACTGAGTGGTTTGAGCTCCCCCAGTGCCTCCCCTGCAAGGGAGAGACCAGTCTGCGTGAATTTTGGCTCAAGACCAAAATCACAGGTGTGGCTCCGGCAGGCACAGCATGTGGGCATCTGCTCCTGTGCTGCGTTGGACGCTGATTTCTGCCACGCCGCCCTTTCTGGACCAGCACCAGCCTGCTGGCCTCAGAGGAGCAAATGCTCCTAGTCCTAGGGCTCTGAGGGTCTCTTGTCCTTGAGTTCATTCTGGGACAGGAGCTTCTCGGTTGGAAGAGAGGGGCTGTATCCCTTGAGTGTTGGTTCTCAATCCAGGGCACATCACGGAAGCTTTGACAAACATTAGAGCCTGGGCTCCACAGCCACCAAGCGAGTCCAATCTCTGGGCCAGGGCCAGGAGCTTGAGAACCCCAGCCCTAGGGCAGACCCGGCCGAGTGTGAAGGGGCCGGGACTTAGCAAGCTCTTATCGGCACCAACAGAAGGGTCTAGAAGCACAAGCGTGTTGGGCTTCAGTGATAACAACGACCAGCATTTATTGAGCACCTACCGCACAGGGTGATCCTCACATCACCTTGAGCGGGAGGTGCCATTGCTCTAAATGTGAGGAGTAGAAGAAATTTGCCAGGAGGTGCAGGGAAGTGGCAGGGTCAGAATTCAAACCCAGGCAAAGGAGCATCTTTTACCTGGGGTGGGAGATAGCCTGCCAGGTGGGCTTCCTCCACTGCGCTCAGCGAACAGCAGAGATAGGGGCTCCCTTCCCATCTCCCAGGATAACGGCAGAGAAGGTTCTGGAAGAGAAGCTGCTGCCGCTGTTGTTTTACAAAGACCAACAGAACCCCTGGCTTCCGTTTTCCTAAAGAGAGAAGGATCCGTGGCCTTGCTCAGTACGCCACATGGAGGGTGGCCTAGGCAGGGTTTTAGAAACCCTGGGGCTACCCTGGGCACTCTGCCCCATCCTCAGGATGGCCACTGCAGACAGGAGGCTCTTGCCAGGGGAACAGTGGCAAGCAAGGGCGGCTGGAGGACGGGGTGCAAGGGCAGACTGCGGCCACCCTAGCCTAGAGCAGGGGGATACGGGACTCCTCCCAGAGGCGCCGGGCCAGCTGGCTGGCCTGCTGCACCAGCAGGTCTGTGGGGACGACCGATAGGTGCAGGGCCAGCAGCTCATAGCACTTCACGGTCTCGGCCGGGCGGCTCTTGCTGTAGTAGCGCAGGAGCTTCCTGCGGAGGAAAGGGAGGATGGGGTTCAGGAGCGAGGCTGTGGCACTCCTCCAGCACCAGAGGCCGCTCCCGGCCCTTGCGAGCAAATGCCCATGGCCTCGGTCATCTCACTAGGCCCCTGCACGTGGGTCTTGACACCCGCCCTTGCTCCTCACTGACCCAACAGTGGTATTCTGGCTAGGAGGCCTCAGCAGGGATATTCTGGGCCCCACACAGACGTTCCCCGTGCTGCCAAGACCATGCCAGCAGGAATGAGGCAGGAACACAGATGTGCCCTGCATACCCATTCTCCCTCACTGCACATAGGGCCAGCTGGGAAGGTGTTCCCAGCATGGATTTCTGGTTCCAGGGTAGGGCACTGCTGAAGCAGAAGCTGCTCTCGGCAGGGGCGGGCACTTAGCACCCACATGGGGCATCTGTCCCCAGCAGCTCCCGACGCGGTGGCGTCACCTGTAGTAGTCTCCTCCCAGCATGCCAATAGGCACCGAGTCGTCGGAGAGGACGGGCACCTCGATCATCTGGAGTTTGTACCCCTGAGGAGGGAAGACAGGGAAGTGGTGGGTGTCGGGGGCTCACAGCCTGAGTCAGACGCACAGGCCTGTGCCTGACTTGGCCCTGCCATGTGTGCTCTGTGCTTGAGAAAATGCCTGGACCTTGTTTTCTTCATCGGTGAAGTGGGAATAACAACAGTCACCTTATGAACATTAGAGACAAAGTGTATAAAGTTTCAAGGCCCCAGCAGAGTGGCTCTCATTACCATCAATACCTGGACCGGTGCATGCCACGCACAGGAGGGCAACCTGCAGGGCTGTCATGCAGGGTCTTGAAGAGGAAAATGCTCACAAAAGGCCCAAGCCCCTGCGGTGAAGGAACTGGGAATTCCCAGGGTCGGATAAAATGGGGACAAGAATTAAGATCTGCTGGACTGGACGTGCCCTGGGTGCCAGGCATGAACATGGCGCTTAGCTGATACTTGTGTGGGCACCATGAGGCCTGCCTGCAGGGAGAGTGGACTCCGCAGCACGAAGGGCTGCCCCCATGGCATCGGCTGGGCTGTGCGATTGGTGTTCAAACCCGGCCTCCCCAGCTGACAGCTCTGCCTCACTGTATCTCCCCGTGGGGCCAACCAAGCACACAGACTCCTGTCTCTCCCTAGAAGCGCAGGTAGAGGTCACAGGAATTTTCTAGCACTTCTGTTGTGCACACTTCTAAAGGCACAGAGGAAAGCTGGGAGCCTGCAGGCTGGGGCAGTGGAGCTTGGGCTCCGGCTTCCTTAAAATATAGTCCTGGTGGCCCTGGCCATGCGTCTGGTCATCGTGTCTCCATCTGTACATTGGGGTCAGGGATCCCTGCCCCAGCCACTGCACACAGCTGTGAGGGGTGACTGAGAGAACAGCAGTGGAGGGCCCCGGTAACCACCCTGCGCCATGGAATGGGGTGGCTGTCATCCTCAGTGAACAATGAGAGTGAAGGGTGAATGCCCTGGAAGGCAAGGAGTGCAGGGACTCAGAGACCAAGGCTGCGAGGGAGGAGGAAGGCTCCTGAGAGCTGGAACAACCACCCACGGTGACAAGTGAGATGCAAACAAAAGAGAAACAGAAGGAAAGCCAAGAAAGGGAAGAGATAGGAGGGAGAGGCAGGAGGAGAGGAGAGGGGTAGGGGGCCACAGACAGTAGTTCCTCTCGCCAGAGCCTACCCTGCGGGAACAGTGAGACCCAGAGGCAGCAGTGTGGGGCCAGGAGGCCAGGGACCCAAGCCACACTGCCAGTGCCTTCTCAGGTGGCCGGGCTCACTGCTTCAAGCAGGGTCCTATGCTACAGGGATGACTGTATGCCACGCTTAGCACGTGACGCTGGCGATGTGGAAGCACTACAGATGAAGCGTGTGGTCTGAGTCACCTTTCCCACGTAGGGCGTGTGCCTATCTGCTCACATGTGTGCCAGGACCCTGTGGGGACAATGGCAGGAGTTTGCTAGACAGCTGGGCAGAGGGATCACAGTTAAATGCCCAAGTGAAAAGGTGACCTTTGAGCTCTAGGTCCCAACCTGCTGGGCTTACCAGGGACAAGAAGAGGAGACAGACAACACAATCAGAAGAGAGGAATCCAAGAGTTACAGCGTGGGAAGTGTGTGTGGACTGTCCTGGCCCAGGGACCTGGCCTCACCTACCATGTCATTCTCGAACCACAGGAAGTAGGAGCAGTAGAAATCCCCCTCCTGGAACAGCAGCGTGGTGTAGCCCTTCTGCAGGTATCTGCGCGCCAGCTGGATCAGAGACCAGACCTGGGGAAGAGAGGAGAGCGAGCGTCATCACTCTCACGGCCTCAGTCAGCCTGGGCAGCTCTTGCCTCCGGAGGGAGGAAAGTGTGCAGTCGAGAAGCCCGTAACAGGGGCCTCTCCTAGTACCCGGGCACAGCCTTGGCTCAGAGCAGGAGACTCAACAGTAAATCATTATTGGATAGATAGACTATCCTCCAGTTAGTGTGGGGGCAAAATATATGTAAAAAAAACTTTGTGTAACTTTACTACATACATAAACCATAAATTAGTAAACTGGGCTGGTGTGGTGGCTGACACCTGTCATCCTAGTACTTTGGGAGGCGGCGGTAGGTAGACTGCTTGAGCTCAGGAGTTCCAGACCATCCTGGGTAACAGAGTAAAACCTAGTCTTTACAAAAAATACAAAACGATTAGCTGGGCATGGTAGCACAACGCCTGTAGTCCCAGCTACTTTGGGGGCTGAGGAGAGAGGATCGCTTGAGCCCAGGACGTTGAGGCTGCAGTGAGCTGTGTTTGTGCCACTGCACTCTAGCCTGAGTGACAAAGTGAGACCCTGTCTCACAAAATAATAAAAATAAAATAAATAAATAAATAAATTAGTGAACTGACCATTCAGCCCAGAAAACAGCCAGGGACATCGATAATTAACACAGTAGGAGAAAAAGGTGTGGGCCCCTGAATCCCCTCCTCTGCCTGGGGTCACCCACCCACCCAGTGCCCCTCAGGCTGGGAACTGATGACATAGGTGAGTGACCCTGTAGGGTCACTGAGCCAGGGGATGTCCTGAGCCAGGGGTGAGGTCCAAATGAGAGCTCACCAAGTGGTCAGATGGAAACACAGGACCTGAGAAACCACGTGCCTTAGCTCCCCTGGGAATGTCCTCTTGCCTGATGCAGGGATCATCACCATTGCTGCCAGTGAAGTGCCCGAGGGAAGGCAGCAGGGACAGTGGGCTCTCCCCCACCTCTCAGGCCTGGGAGGAGAGGGACAGGCAATCTGCTACAAACTGCATCACAGTGCAATTACTAATTAAGTCTGCCATGGATTGGCTATACTTTTCAGGAAAGAAATTTGGCAGCATGCACCAATAACCTTACAAACATGCCTCCCATCTGACTTCGTAATTCCAATTGTAG